CCCTCCCGCCTTAACAAAATAATACTCATCTCTAAGTGAACATAAACACTTTAACGTGTCACAGAGAAAGTCATTAATATATCACATGGTATATTCAGTTAACCGTCTGACCGTAATGTTTTATGATGTCTCGCCTTCTATTTGGTTTATATTTGGTTCAAGGTTCAGGTGCATTGTAGCTATCTTTAGGGTTGACTCGGCTAACTAAAAACTTGCAGAATATTTCAAGGTTCTTTTTTTTTTCTTAGCCAGTCACGGGGAACTAAATTCCTATGTCAAATCTGTGTTAGCGTTATCCATGCGGTAGTTTGACAATTTGCTATGTGCTATTGCATTTCAGACGAGATACCCGATGGCGAAGAACGATCGGGCTTACCAATTGCGTACACCATCGGTATAGTTGTTGTAGTAGTCATTGCTGTCCTCATTGGTATTACAGTGGCTATATGCAATGGATGTAAAAAGTAAGTAATTCTGTTGTACGCATACATAATTTGGGTGTCAATTCGAGTCAGATACTGTATGTGGGTCTCATGTTACGTGTACAACGCATGTAACATACATACTGGAAATTTGAAAGCTAAAAGACTGGAGAAATTCAATCTTCGTCCGATTACCAAGTAGGGATAGTAGTGAATTTGAATATTTACTGACTACTATATTCCATTTCGATATTAACCTTATTTGATGTTTGTACTTAAAGCGCCATAGTCGTTTATTTGGGACAACATGCTAATGAATGTATATTGTTCTCTAGGTTCATTTTAACTTATACGCCATTCGTCTAAGTACATTTTAACTTATACGCCATTCCTCTAAGTCGCGCCCTCTAGCGACGAATCATTTCGACGGGAGTAATGACGCCATTCACATCGCCCTTTTTAGCGATCGTCTGTCAATAAAAATTCGCTATACTCTAAATAACGAACGGCTAAATAACTAAACGTTGTTGTTTACCAACATCACTTTCACTCATCTATGTTGACATCACAAAATCGCTTTGCTCTCACGGGACGCAACTAATGAAGGTCTACTGCGCATGACTTTAAAATATATTTATATCTACTACAGCCTGTTCTTATTATCTGTTGTTTTTTCTCTTAACAGGCGAAATCCAAAGTATATGACTGCCTAGGATACATTTTATAAGTGGATGAAATGAAGTCTTGTTGAGTTTTTTTGTATATCCCTGTACGATTTTGGCGTAATTTCTACTACATGTATTGATTTCGTGGAATGGATCAAGATGGTGGTCATTAAATGAATATGCAATAAGACATTGATTTAGATTAAATTCTGCACATAAAGAGTGTTTAATTTTACTTTTATATCAGTCCCATGCTACATGTATGTGTTGCTAGTAAATACTGTACAATATTTTATTTTCGCTTGGAATATATTTTCCCTGGTGAATATTCCGTTTCTTCCGATATAAATAAGATTTTTCCTAACCACCTTCAGACACACCCTGGGACTCAAATCATTCCCATAAACCATGGAGGTCTTTTTACCTCCATGCATAAACAAAGCACAGCTATCGGCAGGGCTATCGGGGAGACTGTGCTTTGTTTTCTCAGATATCACGTGATGTCGTCACGGTATGACGTGTGTAATGTGATGTCACGTGATATGAAGTGACGAGATGACTTAAATGTTTCTATCACTTTAACCAGTCCAGCGGTGGGGGGAAATGTAGCTAGCAATATTTTTTTTAATAATATTTATATACTAAACTAATAAATATATAATATTGATATTAGAAGATTATAAAACACTACGATTGGTTGCAATTTGACTTTGACAGAAACCAACATTTGTGAACGTTCTGTTGAAGTGTAGGTACATTTCATTCTGATATATGGGCAAATTTAATTTTTATTAAGATAATTTAGTTTTAACATTGATGACAATATATAAGATCAGAATCTAATCAAACTATCACAATCACGTATTTTAAAAGTAACTCTTCAAGTTGTTGGATTGATTTCAAGAAAATTATGACAGATACAGATAAAGATACAGCATGGATAGAAACATGATTTTAAATTTGTTGTTCGATACTTCATAATGTATCCCAAATCATAATATAATTTATCATATACTAAAAATGTTGCGTTCGTCGGACACACAACAATATACGTATGTACAGCAGTAGTAGACACCATTGCCAGCAGTGCGCATGCGTACTAGAGAATTTCATTGAACCAATACTAAGACGTGTGGTACAAAAATAGAATTGTTATGTTATGTTATGATAAAGCAATTATCAATAAAAAACAACAATCATAAAAATTACATGTGCTCATTCACATTGAATCTTTAACAAACTGCCATAAATGAAAAAATTCTGGAAAGTTCAGTGAATATATACAAGTGATCCAAAACTGTAATTGAAGTCATTGAAGTGTCTATACATATGAATGATATTATATATTCTGCTTTCTTGTAATTTGTTTATTTCATCTGTATATGTGTTTGTTTCATATTTTAACACTTTATTATCGCTTGGAGTTATTTTCGCTGAAGGAGTGACTCAGTCTGAGTGAAAATAAAGTCAATACGTGACAGCCAAAATATTTGTTTCAACGAAAATTAGTTCACAATATATTTCTCCCAATTTCGCTGTTACCCGAGTGAGTTTAAATGATTCAATTTATAGAATAGTATACAAAGTGAAGCGTTATCTGTAATGACATTGATGCCTATAATTGGAAATAAAACTATACATATTTTAACGATTCAAGTTGTCAATCATTTTATTACATATTCAGAGCATCTTGTATATATCCGGAAAACACAATATAATACAGTGTTGCTCAAAACGGTGCTAGTGTTTGTCATATTTTTCCAGCATCAGTGCCCCCACAGTCAGCTAAAAACAATGAACCAATTAAGTATTAGATAAATTCACAGTTTGTACTGGTGTACGTTTTGGTAATGACCGTATGTGCAATGCATTGTGGGAAAGCACTCCAAGTAAACATACTTTGGAAATATTTACATACTATAGAAACTCGTCATATTCAATATTAGGATTAAAATGTGTGTGAAGTTAATTTGTTTATATTTATATAACTATTATTCATTTTTATCACATAAATAATACATAACATTCACAATACATAACATTGTAGTAAGTTATCAACATCTAGCACTACTTCAGCGTCAAATCAGTGCCTGGAATTGCTGTAAGATAGAAAAAAGAGATACTCAAGAAAATACAAACTAAGGGGGGAAATAGTTTATGCTGTTTCTATACACTAAAGCCCTACTGAAAATCTTCGTCAATAAAATTTTGCATTTTTAATTTAGTACATTTGGAGTGATGGGCATGCATTTTTTTTTTACTTTTTGCTATCATCTTTTCAACACAACACAAATTTGTAAACACCGGTAGGTAGATCTTCATCTTAGATTAATACGGGCAGCGTTTTCCATTAATCAGCAAGTGATTTGATATTTGAGAAAAGTCGGGTGAGTCTAAAATCACATGTTGAAAAGTCAGGATATTTTACCAGACCTGCGAAGGACTGTTTGAAAGAATTACAGAAGGAATAGTTTATACTTCTATCTGCAAAACGGGACATAAAGGGTCATCAACCTTAAGTGATTTCATTCTATATAAATTGTCATTGATATACAGAATACGGTGCAATACGTTAAGAGCTTTCACATATAAGTCGCAAAGATTAATGGGCAACAGCCTGTATCAAAATTACAGTTGAACAAAAAAGGTGCTAAAATGATGCATCTAAATATCTTTGAATCCAAGAGATGCGCAGTAACTTATATAAAGGTATAATATCAGGTGATTTTATACAACCACATTGAATATCATACATCAATGTTTCGCGTGCAAGTCTGTCTACCATTCCAGATAAAATGAAAAATGTTCTTATTAATCTTTTTCTGAAATATCCCTTGAAACACAAGTCATTCTCATCAAGAAATCAAACTTAGAGACAGCTGGACTTTTAACAATTCGAATTTTACCCAAAAAGTTTAAAATTTAAAGTTATTATCAAATTCTCTAATGGTTCAGTGTAATTTATTGTTGCTGCCCGTTTATTGTTAATTGGCTGAGTTAGCCAGTTTATGCCAATTAATTTAATGTTTCCGTGTTTCCAGTTATTAATCCAAATTTGTAGTCCTGGTGAATTGTGAAATCTTGGGTTGTCGTCAGCACGTGGGCCGGTCAAGTCGTCAGCAAAATAGTCTTAACATGTTCACTGTCTACCCGAATATACGTACATTTTGAATTACATCGAATGGCAACTAAAGGAGTTTCAAACGCTAATACAAAAAGGGCGCGGTGAACGAGGGTCACCTTGACGGACCCCCCCCCCCCCCTCCGGAGATTGAAATAACCAGTTGTGTGCCCATAATCGATAACCGAGGTCTCAATGTCATTGTAGTAGGTTTTAACCTTATGAGGGATATTCAAAAATTGAATGCATGAAAACATTAATAAAGGTAAATCAATTCAAGCGAATCAAATGTTTTTTTTGGAAATCAATCGCAAGCAAAATACTTGGTACGCCTTGTTCATCGTCATAGTTTCATCGAACATACGTTTATTTGTATTGGTGTCGATAATGGTATCTAGTGTTTTGCTTTATTCGCACAATGAGCGCTGAACTTGACTAAACTTTCTACTTTTCGCGTTGTTGCCTACATTCGTCTTTTTATGTATAACAATTACAAGTATTTTAGACACAGTGCGCCATAATTGATGAGATCCTGCCAAAATGTGTGACACGACAACCTCACTGCTTTAGATGCTTTCCGTCTTTCTTGCTTACATTATTACATTATATGGATGCCATCATGGTACAACAATTAAAATAAAATGTGTGTGCTTGGTACAACTTTCTTGCTCAAAAGTTGGGCGTGCTTCATGATGTCTTCATGACTAAGATTCTGTTCTGTGATCAAGTGTTTGGCTCCTCCTTCACGACCATTGTGGCTATTTATAAATATGCTAATTACTCCAGTTGTGAATAGAATTATTTTATATGCGCATACCTCCATGATATGCGTAATAGACGGAGGTCAAGTAGCCACACCCAGACGACACACTTCAGACAAGTTCTTTTAGTAGCTCGTAGACGAACCCATAATGACCCAAATACCCCCTGCACATACCACACCTAACAACTTATAACAATCTAACATGTTTACGCATTTTGGAATTCATGTACCCAACGCTACGCCCATGGCGTCTCAATCCCCGGTATTGTTAAACCATCGATGAGGGCGCCATCTTATATAAACCCGATGACTTCGCTATGAATATAATACAGCCGATCGTAAATAAAGTAAATGGACTATAGTTTATCAATTCCTGATCGATAAGTCCATGATACTGTTTTAACGATGTTTGCATCAAAGTGTGTTAAAGGGCGACAGTTGTCGACGTAGCGACGTACACACGATGTACAATACATTGTTTGTTTACATGAAATTCGAACACGCGTCAGTGGTTTTTGGATGATGCGCTATGGAAATAAAAATTATCCCAGTACTAAACACAGTAATTTTCACCGTCAACGAGTTTTCAAATCCAATCAACTGCACATGCGCACTAAAGCACCACGATATAACCTCATCGTGGCAGATAGGAATCGAGTCGGTCCTAAAGAAATACCTAAGTGTGTTGCGCGTAACTAACATTCCCCACATACCCGATTAACCACTGTCCCTCTATCCGCCCGGGTTGCAATGAGTGCGTTTAATCATGTAGTTAGCTCTATGGTTTAATTCCACAAGATAGATTCAACTGAAAATGTATCATTAAAGGATGCTTGCTTTCTGATTACACGATGCACTTTGTATATTGTGCGTGTTCTTGGCAAATATAAGTAGTGTAAGAATCATGATAAAAAAGGATCTTTTCTGTTATCATTATTTATTTACGAAGTGTCCACTACATAATATAGCACAAGATGTAATAGACTTGAAAGCAAACGAAACTGCTGCAATTAGCTGTAACTCAATCAGTTCACTGAGATGATAGTATATTATCTAAACACACCCCACTCAGTATCGCGAGATGCCTTTACTGTACATTGCATCACATCTAAGCGTCCAACAATCCCATACAGGTTGTCTTTGCTGAATTAGCAACATCCTGAATTAGTAGCTACATTACAAACTGAAATGGTGTCACCCGGTAATCACAGCCGCGTATATTTCACTTCGTAGGAGTCTGAGAACCACAAATGAAGAACCTTTGTTATAATTGTCCCTACTTTCTGTTTGTTGCGCTGAGGTATGTGGCGGAATATGTGTTTCAGCCAATCAATTGGGCATACTAT